CAAATCTTCATCGCTGAATGTGACGTCCAAATTCAACAAATCTGCAACCAACTGATTGAATGCAGTGACGTGGTCATTCATCGATGTGCCATGCCGGTACTCGAATCGGAATAATCGCTTCTTCATGAGGAGCTTATTCTGGCCGCTTTTCTTCAGAAATTTATCCTCCAAAGCCTTCCACAGTGTGTGAGCAGAGTTCTCATTCTTGAACGCGTACTTCTGCTCCCTCGACAAACACGAACGAATTGTTCCACATGCTAAGCGGTTGATATTCTTCCAGTCCTTCTCTTCAACGTCTGTTGGCTTCTCTTCTTCAATCGCAATGTCGACGCCTTGCTGAAATAGACAATCCAGCACCTCGCCTTGCCACATGCCGAAATGACCGGTCCCGTCGAAAATCTCCACCGGGAGCCTGACGTTCGGCATCACCGTCCTTGCCGGAATGAATGCAGAGGATGATGAACCCTTGACCTCCTTGGACATCTCGGACCCGAATGCAGTGCTCGCCTCTCCAAATGAGCCTGGGACGAACCTTCGTCTCTGATACCACTTGTTGGGCTATCACAACAAGCGCAGCGGACAAAAATACCCCTCCAACAAATATGGCAAGCACTACTCCAAAATAAGCCAACACAAATAAAAGACGAGAAATAAAAAGAACACAAAAATTGATAACGGAGTTCGGCGAAAATAGCCTACGTCTCCGGGCACCGCCAACCGCAACGCCAAATTTACTAAACTCACCAACAAAATACAAATAGGGTTAAATAACCCACAAAATAGGATTTCCTTAATTAAGGATTTCCTTCTAAATAGGAGAGAATAGAATAAGGTGCAATTGTAACCCAAAGGCAAGGGACCTATTTATACTAATAAGATCCTACACATCTTTGGTATACATCCGATGTGGGACAACAATTAATCAAAAAACTAACATATGTAAGTTAAAAAAAAAAAAAAAATGTTTTAATAAATTTTATTTAAAGTTTTAAACCCATTTATCAGCTACATTTTCATCCCACAGATCAAAGCTGCTTTAATTCAAAACGTCGTCGTTTTGTGCTATCCTCTCCCCTTAACTTTCTGCTGACACTCATCAATAGACCCATTCGCTGCCCATTCCCCTTTTCTTTCCAGTTTTGGCCTTTTCATGAATCTTCTGTTTTTCTGTATAAATGGATGGATTCATTGTATCATTTTTTTGGTACCGGACATTCCGGTTTCCGAATCTACAGGAGAACCGACTAATCCGAAATCGAGCGGGTAGGACCACAAGGGCGGCAAACTCTCCTCAAGGAAAGAGTTTTAACACTGTTCCATTATATCATTAATCAGAAAATTTGGTATTTGTCTTCTCTTTTGCCTCCTCTCATTTTTCTTTTTGTTCTTAGTATTTTGTTTTTGCTTTTCGCCCATGAATGTTCGGTCCAGACAATGACATATCCTCTGTTAAAGCTTTTGCTTTAATACCTCAAAAGGTTT